AATCCACCTAAGATTGTAAAAAAAAGAAAAAAAAAGGAAATGTGGTGTCGTGGGACACCAGGTAGGAACGAAGTTCCTTCGGCTAATGTAGAATCGACACAATTTGCAAAAAAAAATCGTGCTCAATTTTATGTTGGTTTTCTTGATTTTTCTCTTAAATTTTGCTGATTAGTTTTTATTTAAGTACAGGAAAGTATTTAGGAAATTCAGTATTTTAGGAAATAATAAATTACGTAAAATAGAAAGAGAATGGATGAGAGAACGAAAAGAAAGAGGGAGAAAGAGAAAGGTATTATACACTACTCGCTTGTGTATGCAACTGTCGCGCCTGCGCACGTCTCATTTAACGGTTTTATTCCACGCACTTTTTTCCACTGATTTTTTCTTACGGTTTTACTATCACATTTTTTTCAGTTCGGTCGCGCAGCAAAATCCCTATCCCCTCCAAGCCTGCCGTAAGGAACTTCGTTCCAATAAATTACGTAAGTTAAGCGCAATGTCATTTAAATCAAATAGGCTTTCAACTCTCGATTTTTAACAGTGACGCTATTAGTTTTAAAATGTGGTCCGAAAACTTAAGCCTTCGTCAAACAGAACGCGTACTTAGCGCCGCGTACTTAATGTCGCGCTCTTCAAATTGACTAGATGAGTCCAACGCTCCTTGACGCAACGCATTCGCCAAATCATAAGTGCCTTTCGATAGCAGTGTGAAAATTTAAAAGTATTAAGAAATCGAATGATTCAGATGTGGCATTGTATAATCATGGGTATTTTCTATTTATATCATTTTTTCGGGCATTATCTAGTATTTTAATACACCTTTACTCGGACGCTAAAATAAAATTTGTAAAAAATTACAACGCCTGACGTCAGCGTCCTAACGCCGCGACAGAGCGCTGCGTACTTATAGCGCTGGGGCTCTGTTTGACGGTATGTTACCATAGTAGTACAACACATCTCGGCGCCATAGCGCGGCGTCAGTTTAGCGCTCTGAGGCGCCCTAATTACGCGTTCTGTTTGCCGAAGGCTTTAATTTTAGTATCCGCGTAACCGTAACTGATTGCAAAAGTATTTTTCAATCATGTTACATTTACGGAAAAAATCGATCAAAGTTTTCCAGTTTTACACATTATACACGACCGTCCTAATACAAAATTATTAGTCATTTTAGGCATCAATCACATGCGATTTGAATTCATTACTTCAAGGGTAGCAACCGAAAGCTTGGCTTATTTTACGTTAAAACTAAATCCAAATAATTTTTCACGAGGTATAATTTGGATTACAGATCGACTATTTTATTGTAATGCAGCCACATATTATTAGAAATACAATATAATTATAATATTATTATCAAGTAGTATGAGTGCTAGTTTTATTATATATAGTAAATTATCAAAATTTATCATCAAAAATATGAATATATTGCTAAAATGTTACAGTGTGAACTCTAAATAAGTAACTATTGACATGTTTTACAAATCGATCGTGTAAGGATGTCGTTATTAAATTAGTATGTCCCCTTATTTAATTAAACTATTCGCTCGCAAATAAGCAGCGTAAGTTTTTGATTATCCGGTGTCAAATCGGCCCATGGACATCACAACGTTTATCTGATCGTTAGAATACTATAATCAATATCATTAGAACTGTCGATCGAGATGTAAAAAAAAAAACTTGTAACAATAATAACACATTACAAATTGCACAAATACAGTTAGACAATTCCACTATACGCGATAAGTTTGAGTATACATGTAAGAGGTTTAGAAAAGTGTTTCTATTTATGTAAGGCAATCAATTTCATAATTTATTGCTTTCTTTGCACACATCACACTTGCAGGCGTAGCTTACAATTATTGAGGATGCAAATGGGGCATTCGACTGTTCCAACAAATCCTAGCAGATAACGATATAGGTACGACAAGTATTACTCCAAATAAACAAAACACAAAAAAAAATAATGTATAATTAACTGTAGATTAATTGGTAAGAAAAAGTTATGAATTCAAATGTGTAAAAGCAATAAAAAAGCAATGCAAAAGGAAAATCAATAAATTTCAATGCAAAAGTACAAAATGGGTCAGTTAACCCGTTATGGTATGTTAAATAAAATATTGTTTTTATTTTATAGTTTCACCAGCGTCCACGTGGAATTTGATGAAACATTATAATATGATAATAATTTTAGAATATTCCTAAAATAGCTATGTAAATTACAAGATATAAATTATATCAGCTATCTGCCAGTGATAGTCCTGTCAAAATTAGTACAGCCCTTCCACAGATTAGCCGGAACAAACAGACAGACAAAAATTGTAAAAAATGTTATTTTGGGATATGTACCGTATACACATTCATATGCATATAGTAAAAAGCTGTTATTTTAATATTACAAACAGACACTTCAACTTTATATATTTGTATAGATTTCTTCAGTCATGTACGACATAACAGTCAAATACCCCATTGCTAGTTTAACTTTTTTTTTAAAGTAGCTATCAATTTATCTACTTATAATTATGTAATAATTTTTTTTTTTATATCTTATATTATATTAGGTATATAAATAATGTTGCTTTTATTATTTATGTTCAATAGCTTTGTACAAAATCGATTATCGAGTTATTTATTCGTTTATGACTTCTTCTTTAGGCTCGCAAGTGTAAAATATTTAATAAAACGTATAGGACAATAATTTTATTAAAGTGTATCAAAATAAGTTTATCAATGTATTCGTTTTTTTTTTATATCAGTAATTTGTATAAATCATTTACACTTTAATTTTTATGACATAAACACATAAATGTAAATAAACTATTTACTTCTAATTTAAAATATGTAATCCTTAAAATTAATTCTCACTTTTGTCATACCGTATTTATTCATTGTTAGAATTTTCGTTTATAATTATTTACATTGTTTTTTTTTTTTTTATATAATCCTTTATTATACATCAAGTGTATTTAACTGTGTCAATAGAATAAAATAATGCTTTACGAATATATTTTTATGCGGCAACAAATAAACTATTGTGTAAAATAAAACAGTGACCGTCTATTTTTTCTAAAATACAAAGTCTGATCATAAATCCTTTTGTCATACATAAAAAAAAAAAAAACGTTTTGGCGGGAATGCTATTTATTTTACGATTATTATTTTTTAATAACAAAAGTGTGTAGCATTAGTATATGTATTTATGTGTATATAGACGATTGACTTTAATTAACTTAGCTCCATTTTTTAATATATTCCATTAAATATCCCTTTTTAATTCTGACATGCTATGAGAAATCATATGCACCACATCGGCATGATATTAAACTATACATTTTAATCTAAATACTGTTATATTTATTTAGGTGTAGTAAATGTATACAAGACAAAATTTATAGAAATATAATGTTTTTATTTATTTTTATTGCTATATTTTCTCACTATTCTCACTTTCTGTCAATTCTGATTTATATATTATATTATCTATTAATATAATATTGATTTAGAATAAATTTTATGTTATATATAGTTCATATATTTTGAAGTACTTAAGAATAAATTAAGTTGATTATGTCTATAAAATATATAGCTTTTCTTCTATTTTCAATATACAGGGTGTTTCAAAAAGAATAGATAATCCTGAAACACCTTATAGTAGAGCTATTTGGAAATCAAAATATTTTTTTTTTTTTTTTATTATATTATAATATTCTACATGGACTATACTAAGGAATATGCAGGAAATCGTATGAGTAGCTAGTGTAATTTTTTATAAAAGTTAATCTGAACTTAAATTTTAATCATGATATTTGTTTTTTTTCTTTATTTTTAATTTGGGTACTACCTAGTTTTTTTTTATCTTTTTTTATTTTGTGTCCCCAATAGCTCTACTATGAGGTGTTTCAGGATTATCCATTCTTTCTGGGACACCCTGTATAGACACGTTATTATTTGATTACTTTGTAGCATACAAAAGTACAAAAAAAAACTATAAAAAACAGTTCTCATATATAAGTTTGTTGGGCTGATTTCTGTTACAAATTTCATTTCAGTTTTCTTTATTATTATTAACTTCTTACGTCTTACGATTATTACAATAGTCACACAACACAAATATAAAAGTATCAAGATTAATAGCACGGCATCTCACTATTATATTATTGTTTGTCATTTACATAGAAGAGGAAATAGCATTATTATAAAATTTGAAAAATGCATTTTATTTTTAATATATTTTTGGTTCGTTTTACGTTGATCCCTACGCTGATTCAGTTTCCTCAGGAAAAGTATTTTTGTTTTTTTTTACGATAACCATTAGTTATATGCTACGATATATTAAAAACGTATACGTTCTAGTTACGGTAGGTGATCGCGAGACGGCGACACATCAGCCATACTTAAAAATAATGTCTTTACTATTTTGTTTAACAGCAGACATGTGAAATACATCATCGAACGCTGCGCCTTAAAATAACACGTACTGTGATTGTTTTGAACGCACTTATATTAAATAGACGTACTTGAATGATTTAAATGTAAAGCGTCCTGTAAATGATCAAATTGTTTGTCAAATTATTTGACAGTATACAGCTTTGTTTGAAGCGTTTCTCAAAAGTTTACGTGTCTGACGTGTTTGATGAAATTCTTGATTGACGGCGTGTTTGACAAACAAGTTTGAGCGTATATGAAGGTGTTTGTCAAACAAGATCTCAGTCGTTGCTCGACACGACGTCTCATTACGGCGAGAAGAAAATCGAATCTACGGGCAAGTTTTAACAAACTTGTTTGATCGTTTAAGCTATTATTTGATGAAAACGTAAAGTTTGACAAACAAACTGGTGGTAGGACCTCTTGTGAGTCCGCGCGTGTAGTTACTACCGCCCTGCCTATTTCTGCCGTGAAGCAGTAATGCGTTTCGGTTTGGGGGGTGGAGCAGCCGTTGTAACTATACTGAGACCTTAGAACTTATATCTCAAGGTGGGTGGCACATTTATGTTGTAGATGTCTATGGGCTCCAGTAACCACTTAACACCAGGTGGGCTGTGACCGCGACTACCGATCTAAGCAATAAAAAAAAATTTGATCGTTTACAGGGCGCTTCATGAAAGCTATTTGTAAATTTTGAAATATTACATCCACCGCGAATCACGCCGTTGGCCTTTGACACGTGTCACTTGTGTCATCTGTCAAACGGAACCCTTCACAGTTTGAAGAACCGACAAGAGAAGTGAGACCAGGCGGCCATGCAGACGTGGCAGGCTTCCCTGGTGGACCTGTGTTATATCTTCAGGTTGTAGTGCAGATTGTTGTGTATCGTGTCCGAATGTTCCGGAGTTCGACTATGGGCGAGGAGTGAAGCCACTATCGATTCCTGCTCTTTGAGCCTCTTGACCAGCGGCTCCCAGGAACCGTAGTTCAAGTCCATCAGTTGTATAGATTTCTTTATTATCTTGTGGGCTTCGAGACACCATTCCCTGGAAATTGTGTACGTAGACTCAATCGTTGTGAAAGGTTGGCCGTTATTAATCAAAATGATTTTGTAATTATATAGGGTGTTGTTTTTTCTTTCATCATCACTACATAGCATAAAACAAAGTCGCTTTCTCTGTCCCTATATCCCTATGTATGCTTTTAAATCTTTAAAACTACGCAACGGATTTTTATGCGGTTTTTTTTAATAGATAGAGTGATTGAAGAGGAAGGTTTATATGTATAATAACATCCATTAAATAGTGGAGAAATACTGTTATTTTTGAGGTTTCTGTCGTAAATAATCAATAATAAAATTGCATGTTTCCGAAGGGAAGCGAGGGCGGGTCGCTAGTTTAACAATATTTTCATTTTACAGCTTCGTAAAATGAAAACTTATACGAGTCCTGAAAATAATTTTCTGTTTTACTAATCACGTCAGATTGCCTCAATATAAAGCTTTTCTTGGTATGCATGGCATATGTATGCTTTTTTTTAAATTTATATTTAAGCGGGTAACTTCTTATTTCAAGTGTGAAAAGTATTTACCTGTATTCAGGGCTCTGTGGTAAGTTGATGAGTCTCTCTAGCATCACGTCCGATAGTTTTCTTAGCTCATGCGCTACCTTTAGTACAAGACAAATTATTTTTTATAAAAATAGTGGATGTTATAATATTTATATTAATGTCGTCACGACCTAAGGATAAGGGGCCCGGTAGTGCGATTGTATCAAACGATGCACCGGTGTTCGAATCTCAGGCGGGTACCAATTTTTCTAATGAAATACGTACTCAACAAATGTTCACGATTGACTTCCTTGGCGAAGCAATGACATAGTGTAATAAAATATTAAAGGCGCAAAAATTTTAATATGCATAATTACTGATGCTACTGATGATATTCTTACGATACAGTACGAGTACCTACCACCATTCTACCTACTTTTACCGCAAAGCAGTAATGCGTTTCGGTTTAAATGGCGGGGTAGTGGTCGCGCTACAGAACTAAGATTAAGAGTTCATGTCTAAAAGTGGGTGACGGTATTTACGTTGTAGCTGTATATGGGCTCTGGTAACCGCTTAACACCAGGTGGACAGTGAGCTCGTCCACCAGTCTAAGCACCAAGAAAATTAGGTTAAAACGATATTTCTCAGTGACAAAAGATATTTTGGCATCCGACGCCATATTGAAAAATAAGCTTAGGCGTTAGGGTGAAGTGTGCTTAGACGCGGGATGCATTCCATTGCTGGTTCACTGAAAACATGCAGCAATCTTGATTAATACAACACTTAACATCAAAACATCCGTGAGCTCTTAACCGACAGCTACATAAAATAATTGAGGCAGTCAGCGCAAAAGTGGCCTAAGCTTACCATAGTTATAATGGAGCAAAGAGCTTTAAGTATCCATGAATTTGAATTTGAGTAGGTAAAAAAACAATACTCGCAAAAATAATGTTTACAAAGCCATCTGTTATCTATGGGTGAAACTATGGATAGGCCGGTTTTGCATCAAAATTAATAAATTGCAATATAAATGAGACCGTCAGCGCAAAAGTGGCCTAACCCACAATTTTTCATATTCGCGCCTATATATTGCAATTTATGTAAAACATAAATAAATTTCCTAGTTTCACACATAGATAACAGATGGATTTGTAAATATTATTTTTGCGCGTATTGTTTTTTGCCTACAAAGCAGTGTAAAAATAAATTCGAATCTCATTATCTTCATGCAAATTATGGTAAGCTTAAGACACTTTTGCGCTGACGGCCCCAAATATTAACATGATTATGAAAAATAGTGGGTTAGGCCACTTTTGCGCTGACGGCCTCAATTGTGAATAAAAAGGAGCGTTCGTTTGTGATAAAACAGTACGTCCATAGATTGAGGATATAAAGACCGATGTCTTACCTCAACGCTAAACGATCCGAATTGGTATTCCAGACTCTGAATGTTTTGCTTGATCAGCTCGACGCTCCTGCTGAACTCGCCTGTAAACGGTCACATACGGTATACTAATATTATAAAGAGAAAATATTTGTTTGTTTGTTTGTCTTGAATAGATTCCGAAACTACTGAACCGATTTGAAAATTTCTTTCACTTTTGGCAAGCTACACTATCCCTGGGTGACACAGGCTATACTCGAATTATATTTTCGAAAAGTTAGGAATCCTTACTAATTTCCAATAATGTAACCCAAGGTGTAAAAAATTACCTAAAATATCGCGTGCGCTGCCATCCGAGCGAAGCCGGGGCGGGCCGCTAGTTATTTTAATAAAACACAGTCGTCGTGGCCTAAAGGATAAGACGTCCGGTGCATTCGTATGTAGCGATGCACCGGTGTTCGAAACCCGCAGGCGGGTACCAATTTTTATAATGAAATACGTACTTAACAAATTTACATGATCGACTTCCACGGTGAAGGAATAACATCGTGTAATAAAAAGTCAAACCCGCAAATTTTAATTTGCGTAATTACTGGTGGTAGGACCTCTTGTGAGTCCGCGCGGATAGGTACCACCGCCCTGGCTATTTCTGCCGTGAAGCAGTAATGCGTTTCGGTTTGGAAGGTGGGCCAGCCGTTGGAACTATAGACCTTAGACTTGAGACCTTAGAACTTATATCTCAAAGTGGGTGACGCATTTACATCGTAGATGTCTATGAGCTCCAGTAACCACAAGTACATCTGGTTACATTCTACGTCTATGCCTTCCAAACTCGATATCTCTTTCTCTTAGGTTGATGACGTCATTATACGTCACAACGCATAGGCACCAACCCACCTTGTGACGTAGGACGGAAGTCTTATTCTCTTATATTGTAATAAGATATCCTCTACTTTTTAGGCCGGATAACAAGAATGCCTAACTGGAGTAGTATAGTTGCATCCACATAGGCAGGGTTAGTGTACGTCTGCCCCAACACCAGTACGAGTAGAAGTAGGGGGTAAGAATAAGTAAGTATAAGTAGGGGGTGAAAATAAGTAAGTATAAGTCGGGAGAAGTAGGGGGTAAAAATAATTAAGTATAAGTAAGGAGTAATAGGAGGTAAGAATAAGTAAGTATAAGTAAGGAGAAGTAGGGGGTTAGATAAGAATTAAAGAAAAACAATTTAGATGAGTTAAGTGCATGCAGTAGCACCAACAAGATCTGGTTGCGCTCGCATTCCCAGGAATGCAAGATTCTAATGTATTCATCAGACGATACGAACAGATTAGAATCTTTGTAGCGGTCCCCTTACCAGGCTCGTCTAGACCGGAGTCCTTTGATCGTAACGCGTCCTTAACAATCCTTACCGGAATCAACGTATATTCTGGCGAGTCTGTCGGCGGCAGCCCGCAGAGACGTGTGGTGTCGGTGCCAAACTTGCTGTTTCATTTTGTAAGCCGCATGAGCCTTCTCGAAACGTTCCTCAACTGTGACCGCCCGTTCAGCTGTTTGATAACCGTAATACTATTATTTTTCTTCTTTTTTTCTTAGGTCTTTTTTTTTCTACCTAAGCTGGGAACCTTGAGAGGCTATTTCAGCGTAGCCTTAACTAGTAGGTGAGCTCACGGGGCTCAAAACTGACGACGTTGCTAACACTAACCCTAGCAAGAGCCGTGCTTCGCAGAATCTTCCACCGGATCGGAAACGCGACGCACTGAGAAGATCCGGCGAGAAACTCAGTGGGCTGTGTCTGTAGGTATTTTCTTAGGTGGGTGGACTAGCTCACGGCCTATCCGGTATTAAATGGCAAATACCGCCACTCACCTTGAGATATAAGTTCTAAGGTCTCAGTATAGTTACAACGACTACCTCGCTTTTCAAACCGAAACGCATTACTGCTTCACGGCAGAAATAGGCGGGGTGGTGGTACCTACCCGTGCGGACTCACAAGAGGCCCTACCACCAGTGGTTGCGCTTGTTTAGAACTGTTAGTTTTTGGTTTCGAAAAATAGCAACATTTAATTTGGTTTTGCAAATCATCTCCCATCCCTCTCCCGCACTTTACCTACGGACGCGTGCGAGCGAGATCGTGTGGCGACATCGAGTCGATAAGAAATGTAATGGCTGAACAACCGCACGCGCGCTTCGTGTCTCTGTTGTAATATATACGTAAATAAGTGAAATTGTTGGTGTTTCTCATCGCGTAGCGGTACACGAGTCTGCAGCAAGGACTACATAAAGTATTGTGCATCCTTCCTTTACCGCAGAACTGCCGCTTCTTATCGTTTTTTTCCGCGGTCTCTGTCCTTCATTTGCAACGACCAAACTAACTAATTCGTAGTTATCGCTTATTTTGCATCTGCAACCAATCTAAATACGATCTTTGGGAAGAGTATTTTACCATAGGCTATATACCCTTGGCATAGCTAATTTCCATGAGTGACAGTGAATTCTAACCATAAAGTATACGGTATGAGCTTACAAGGGCATATATAAAGGAAGAAAAAAAAAAATGTTAACTTTTAATTTATTTTGATATAACAATTTTATTAATTGAAGCGTTAAAATGAAATTACTGTTTCATATTTAGTATGATTGTGATTTGAAAGTAGACGAAAGAGAAAAAAAAAGCGATTTTTGCCTTTATATTTTTCTTTTATTTTATTCTAAATTTTATCTAAACGTCAATGTTAAATGTGAATATTAATCTGGATCTGTGTGCAAGGTTGATTTTATTATTATTACATTACTATAAAAAGAGACACGAGTATCCATCTATAAGATATAGCTTGAGAGTGAATGAGATAGAACATTCGGGAAGGTTACGTTTTTATAACGTGTGAATAGCATAGATGGTGTGTTTCGTTATACATTAAGCCATCCCGCTACATCGTTACCTTGATCCATCAAGTCTTCGGCTTTTTCTATAGCGGACAACGCTCGGTCTATTTGCAGTTCAGCGTGGCATTGCTGACACAGGGCTCTCTTCCCGCACCACAGGACCGGCCCTTTGCACGTCTGGCAAGCGTACGCGGTGAACAAAGACTGGAATAAAATGAAATCTCTATATATACATATATTAGGGTGGACCAAAAAAGAATTAATTTTTTTCTTCTTTAGGCACTACGAAAATATCGTCCAAGATGACCAAAAAAAAAAAGGTGGTAAAGTTTGAGCTCTTAGTATTCATATTTTGAGGTGCCGCATTTTGATTTTTGATTTCCCATTTAAATAACACGGGATAAAAATTTTTTCTTTGGAATTTTATTGTATCTCAACGAATTATCGCGTAGTAATATATATAATACGTGAAGAAACGTGACCTAAATAAAGAGATTGATTCAAAGGTATTGTGTTCTCAAGTTTGTTCTCTTCTTAGATGACTCTTTTTGCAACAGAAGGCATGATTACTCGTAACATTTTAAATTTTGGCATAAATATATTGTATTTTATTTTTTTCATTTTTATTACTTCACATTTTGGCGCCATAATATATAATAATACGAAAATTGCGCGGGCGGAGGAGTATGAAATTAACGACGCTCATAGAGAGAGGGAGGGCAGGCAGGGCAGAAATAGGCAGGTTGATTATATCCTGGTGTACCTACCCGTGCGAGCCTCACAAGGAGCCCTACCACGAGTAATTACGCAAATTATTTTTTTACAGGCTGATTTTTATTACACCGTGTTGTCATTCCTTTGCCGTGGAAGGTCGTTCGCGAATATTTGTTAAGTACGTATTTCAATAGAAAATTTGGTATCTATATGTGGGATTGGAACACCGACGCAGTCATATCGCTCGATACGAGCGCACAAGATATCTCATCCGTCACTACTACTTCACTGCCGTCGTACCACGGGTGGTGGCACCTACCCGAGCAGGCTTCCATCACGCCCCACCACCAGAAGAAAGTGTGATAAAATCCTTCTTTCACTTACCTTTTTTTTGCCTACCTAAGCTGAGAGCCTTGAGAGGCTATATCAGCGTAACCTTGACTAGTAAGTGAGCTCACGGGGCTCAAACCTAACGACGTTGCTAACACGAACCCTAGCAAGAGCAGTGCTTCGCAGAATCTATCACCGGATCGGAAACGCGACCCACTGAGAAGATCCGGCGAGAAACCCAGTGGGCTGTCTCTGAGGGTTAATTTACTCGTCGAGCCCTTCGTCGCAAGCGACGGGTTCGACGAGAACGATGACCGGTGCTTGAGGTACCTAGAAGCACCGTTAGTGGATCGGGAGGATCCGAGATGACGTGTTTTGGCGACGTCGACTGCTTTCCATTCTGTCCGCAGGATCGGGAATGTAGTTACCTGCGGCCACGATGAGAGGGCTCTCGTGTCGTGCCGCTTTATCGAAGTGGTGGTACCTACCCATGCAGGCTTCTAACGCGCCCTACCACCAGAAGAGAGTGCACCAAAGATTACCACTTACCACAAAATCCTTCCGGTCAGTATCGAGGCAAGCGGTGCACATACAGTTGAACATGTACTGAGCTCTGAGTTGCGCTCGTCTCTGGGCGGTAGTTTCTCTGGAACGATGAGGTCCGTAGCAGTTGAAGACTTCCGTGGCCACGGGCATCTCTCGCGAACAACGAACTATCAGACGACTGTTGTAGAAACTGGAAACATTAATTTGTGTGTGTAATGCGTTTCGGTTTGAAAGGTTGGGGCAGCCGTTGTAATTATACTGAGACCTTAGAACTTATAACTCAAGGTGGGTGGCGCATTTACGTTGTTGATGTTTATGGGCTCCAGTAACCACTTAACACTAGGTGGACTGAGAGCTCGTTCACCCATCTAAGCAATAAAAAAATAAAAATAAAGTTTTATTCAAAAACCACGATTTTTTATACTTATTCATTTCCCTTACATGACTTTATACTGAAAACTGCGGGTAGGATGTTAGTAGTGGAAAAATATGTCTACCCTCTTCCTAGATCGCTTTTGAGTGGTATTAGTCACCGAGTTTTAGTAGCGAAATTTTAAAACGACTCACGTATTTACAATGTTCGGGTCACACGAGTGATTCATCATGGCGGCCGACGGATAAATGGCGGTAGCGCGACGCACCTCTCGCTCAGATATCGTCCTTCCGGCTGTAATATTTACATTGATACTTAATCAATTATTTTTTTTACTTTTCAAATCATAGTTTTTACACAGGATATCGCTGGATGCGGTAAATCAGGATCTGTGATATGGGGTACCTTCAGCGAGGCATTTGATCAGCTCTGAACCTCTGCGGCTTGTTAACGATAAAGACACGAACTCGTGTGTTGTTTTTGAACTTTTTTATGGGAATTTTATTTTTCGACGATTATGATTTTTGGATAATAAACAGGGGCATAAGTACGTAAATGCTGGCATCTACTTTGAAACAAGGACTCAAAAACTATTTTTTGGCAATTGCAGTACTTTGACATAAAAGCCGCCCATTCCCCAGCGAATCCTTCTGTGCCCTTTTAAGAACCCACGAGAAAAATTAGAGTGGTGCATTTCTAGATCCTTCTATAATATTAAAAAAAAAAAAAACCTTTCGCATCGTCCTCTTCGACAGTCGCCAGACTCAAAGCCGCGTGTCCGTTGCAGACCAGCTGTCCCAGGCTACGCAGTAACAGCGAAGCGGAGAAAAGACGCAGCTGCGACTTGTTTAGCGTATACGGAATTTTATCGGGCAAATCATCGAAGAACGTCGTGAAATTCTCCAAGTAGAGAGTCAGCATTGTTGCGGTCTTGAAACACGAAACCAGAAGAGAGTATTACGTGCTGGTAGTGGATAAGGAGAACCAGGGAAGACAGAAAAGGCAGGTTAAAGATTGCGAATCATCAACTACGGTTTATTTTTATATAATAGACTAGCGACCCGCCCTCGCTTCGCTTCGGAAACTGTAATTTATTATTGATTTCTCCACTATTTAATGGATGTTATTATACATATAAACCTTACTCTTCAATCACTCTATCTATTAAAAGAAACCGCATCAAAATCCGTTGCGTAGTTTTAAAGATTTAAGCATACGTAGGGATATAGGGACAGAGAAAGCGACTTTGTTTTATACTATGTAGTGATACACGTAATAATGGCGACAGATCTCTGAAATAGCATGCGATCGTAGAATGCCTCTAGCTCAAGGGGAAAGTTAACAAAACGGTCATTAGACTTGTCGTGCTGTATGGCTCTGAATGTTGGGCGACGAAAGTAAAGCATGAAAGGGGAGTGAGTACACGCGGCAGAGATGCGAATGTTGAGATGGATGTGTAGTGACAAGAATGGACAAGATAAGGAATGAGTATATCAGAGGAAATGTGAAAGTAGCCCCCGTGATTGACAAATTAAAGAGCGGACGGTTAGCGTGGTATGGACGTGTGATGTGTAGAGAGAAGATGCATGTGACTAGGAGATGTATGGAAACGGTAGTGCAAGGTAGAGGGGGAAGAGGTCGACCGAAGAAGGCATGGATGGAGTGTGTGAATGACGATACAAGAGAGAGAAAGAAGTGAGTGTTGAGATGACGGCTGATAGAAGAGAATGCAATAGAAAAAAATCGCAGTGATAAAAAAAGAAGAAGATACACGTAATGATGCTATAGATATACTCACAAGTGCATACTGTATGTAATCGGTGCTGTTCATTTTATCAAAATTCGTGACCAAATTGAACATCCTGTAGAAGGGGGGCGTGTCCCGTGTGTATATCTGAACGTTGTCGATTTTTGCGTAGCCATTGAAGAGATCGGATGCTGAAGTCGGTGTACGTTCCCCCGGTGGCAGCTGGGGGAAACCGGCGCTGACCGATACTAAGAGTACCCTGACGATAAAAACGAAACTTGAAATCTCTAAAGTCTAAGACAAATATATGTGGTATCACTGGTGGTAGGACCTATTGTGACTCCGCGCGGGTAGGTACCACCGCCCTGCCTATTTCTGCCGTGAAGCAATAATGCGTTTCAGTTTGAAGGGTGGGGCAGCCGTTGTAACTATACTTGAGACCTTAGAACTTATATCTCAAGGTGGGTGGCGCATTTACGTTGTAGATGTCTATGGGCTCCAGTGACCACTTAACACCAGGTGGGCTGTGAGCTCGTCCACCCATCTAAGCAATAAAAAATAAAATAAAAAAATATGTAACCTCTATGTGATTTATGACATCTTAAAAGAGGTTATAATAAGGTGACATAAATGGTATTTTGAAACATGAGAAGAAGAAACATTAGAAATATTAAAATATTTTTGAATATTGAAATAAGTATATGAAACATAAAAACTGATGAAGCAATAGATTTAAATGTTGTTTCTCTTTATAGATCAACTCAATTTGTGCTATAGTTTTACTGGGCTAAACTCTATTTTTTGGTCAATAAAATAATACATTATATATATTCACAGGGTGTTATCGTTGTTAAAAAGTATCGACTGCGCGCCGCCCTTAGTTGTGTGAGTGACCGATCTGTATACGCGTCAGTGTAGGCTATATGTAGCTAATGTGGCTACTGACCAGTGACCCCTCCGTCGGGTGCACACATTAACGAAAATGTGCATTTACGATTACAACTACAAATAAAGGCCATGCGCGCTCGTATTTTACAAAAACTATAACAGAACTATTCTCAAAACAGACACTATCCTAATTTACTTAGCTAAGCATGAATAGTTCTTCTAGAACATTCGTGGGTGTGCGATATACAGTAGAGACTTTTACAACGTTACTTGAGAAAACACCCATGAACAATCACAATACACTCTGTATTTAATAAAATTATAACCCAATACTAAAATGTCTGATATTGATATGGTTTCAGTGTTGGTAATTTATAGATAGAGCTAGACTTGAAAAATACTATTTCCCATACACAACAAAACCTTTATATGGTTATATTTAAACTGAAAATGAAAATTTGTATGCTGAAACTAATACAAATTTTTTATTATTTATTGCTTAGATGGGTGGACCAGCTCACAGCCCACCTGATGTTAAGTGGTTACTGGAGCCCATGGACATCTACAACGTGAATGCGCCACCCACCTTAAGATATCAATTCTAAGGTCTCAAGTATAGTTACAACGACTACCCCGCCCTTCAAACCGAAGCACATTACTGCTTCCCGGCAGAAATAGGCAGGGTGGTGGTACCTACCCGTGTGGACTCTCAAGATATCCTACCACCAGAAAATATACTACATATTAATACATATACTATATACTAATATATTCATATTATAACTATAATATAAGTTATTTATTTACCTTAGAGCTAAATGCGCTATCCCTATAGTGGGGAACAAATCAAACTGGGCTCCGGAGCATTCCCAGCGATGGAATGTGTGCAAACCATGCTCTCTACAAGTTTCACTGCAGTAGCAGCTTCGAGAACATACACTGCAACTAAAGACATAAATTATAAAAGTTTTAGGGAGGCATTAAAATAAATAAACACTGGTATTTTGCATATAAAGTGTTTATTGTTAAAAATTAAATGTAAGTCACCTATAAATATTTAGTTAGTTCTGGCAATCTTGGATTCTAATTTGTGAGGGTTTTCCAATACCGTTGAACAATAAGAGAGCTACCCACTTGGTTGTTCGGATTGTTAATTACCCTGGTCTTCTAAGTTGTTTGGAACCAAGGAAAGACTAAAGAAAAAGAGTTTATATTGTACAGTTAACTGTATTTTGTACAGTTCAAGTACAAGCTACATTCTACAAGACAATAGATTAAGAAAAATCAGACATTTTAATTCTTTCCTTTTTTATTGACATTGTAGTCAAGCACACATACGACTATGGATATCAGTGCTTTTTTTATTGCCCTAACAGGCAGACGAGCATACGGCCCAGCTGATTGTAAGTGGTTACTGTCGCTCATGGACATCAGCAACGCCAGGGGCGTAGTCAAATCGCTGCCTACTGCTATATTTGTATTATTGTCAATTTTACAAAGCAAATTGAATGAATATGAACACACTAGATACAAAACTATATAATTGACAATAGTCAATAAACGTCAGGTGAGATGTGGAGCTGCATTTAATTGTGAGAGTACCTGCCTACTCTCTACATCAGCATACCAGAGGCAGAGCCGTGCTACTGCCTACTGCTAGTGGTACAGACTTTACTCATATCTAGAACCACTGCTTTCGTTGCTCATACAATTCTAGATAGCTTGGGTAAAGTATACGGCATTTGGCTCTTGTTTGTTTTGGAGAGCTTGAGTATGTCATGTCAAATGATGTAGAGCAGAAAACAGTGTGCTTAGTGACAGTTTTTTAACGTTCTCGATCGCGTAAAAGTTAACTCAAATTTGCATGGAGTTGGAACAGCGCCCTTAGCGGCAAATGAAGGAGAGAACTAAAGACACAGAGCAGCATAGGTTCTGTCCTGGGTGGGGCTAGGACGTTCGGGCGAAATTGCAAGAGGTTCGTTTAGTGGATGGATTCTGCAGTCCCACTTACCTCAGGCCGAAATCTCGTGAGTAAGCACAACCCTAGCCCCAAAATAAAAGCACTAACAAATACTCACGGAACAGTATTGATGTCAGTTCGACAGCATGTTTCGCAGACTAAGCGCCCTCCTTCATTCGGCAACGTGACACAAGCGTACGGCTCCTCTGAGAATATGACATCACCTCGTTTTGTCGCTTTCTTGGTTAGGACGTGTCGACCAGCTGCTTTGCTGCGTCTGAAAGATGAGAAATAAAGACAAATAAAAATTGCCTTAAAAAGTGACAAATACATTATATGTACTGGTAGTAGGACCTCTTGTGAGTCCGCACGGGTAGGTACCGCCGCCCCGCCTATTTCTGCCGTGAAGCAGTAATGCGTTTCAGTTTGAAGGGTGGGGCAGCCGTTCTAACTATACTGAGACCTTAGAACTTATATCTCAAGGTGTGTGGCGCATTTACGTTGTAGATGTCCATGGGTTCCAGTAACCACTTAACACCAGGTGGGCTGTGAGCCCATCCACACATCTAGGCAATAAATAAAAAAAATGTAAACACACAAATTGATTAAAGCATTATCATGTGGCACGGTGCGTGGGGTGAAAAGTTATGATTTTCTTTTTATCTCTTTAGAATTCTAATTCTGCAAGTCTTTGTAAAGAATATGTATACATTTCCACAACTGAAGAGTGTGTAGTTTATAGCCTTCTTCAATTTCCAACTTAAAGCATGAAATTCTTATGCTTTCAATCAGATATACTATAGAACCTACTTCAATTGTAAAGCGTTGGAGGCAGAAACAAACTCCTCGTTCTCTCCCATGTAGAAATCAGGTATCTCATCTTCTTCAGAACGGTCAACATCTTTCACAACCTCCAGTTTCTTTTCCAAATCACAAAGATGGCGATCAAACTCACCTGAATCATATCAATGACAAATTTACACTTGCAGATATAAGGTCAATAAGTTAGAATAATAATCCTTAGCCTTAAAAATCATCAGCCAATAATGTTATCAAATTTCTAGTCTTCATTTATATGATAAACTCTATATTTTTGGTCAAATTTATTTAGCAATTCTATTACTAAATTTTTTATACTGAAGTCAAGATATACTCCAATGTTATAGGTATCTAACTCAGTAACAATACAGACTCAACAAATGGTTTGTTGTATTTAAATATTCCTATTTAAATTATCATTTAATCCATACTGTTTTGGGTTACAATGAAATGGTGTACTTGAAGGTAGAAAAGCAAATATATTACAAGAAGTTAAGTTCAATGTTAAAATGCAGATATCTCAGTCCATCTGTCTTCAACAATTACTTTGAAATCTAATATTAAATTCAATTGTTTTGAGTATTATTTTTTTATTCCATATTCTTAATTCCCAGATAAAAAAAAAAAAAAATTAAAATATATTTCACACATCACAGTGGAGTATCACAATTTATTACTTATGGGTGTTTTTTGACTGAGGGGTATTTTTTTAAGCCCCTCACATTCTTACAAATTTTTAGTGATGGCTAGAATTGAAAAAACTATTCAAAACATTATTCATTACACACCTTTATGGGACATCGAGAGTTTTAGTGAAGCTGCATGTTGTTTTGCTTCAATCAATGCTTCTCGTGCAGCAACTGTTCTGCACAACTCTATAAGACAATCAGCTCTTCGGAGCAGGAGCTTGTGACGTAACTCTGATGGGTAGCCATTGGATATCGCCAGTTTAATGTCTGACAAGCAGTCCTGATGACAATGTATATAGTATACAGTAAATTTTTGATAAAAATAGGTACCTATTGTAGCAATTTTGCAATATTTATTCGCAAGAGCATCAAAACTAAAGTCGCATAGCAATAAACGTTTTTGATAAAAACGAGTCGAATTTTTTATGTTTTTGGAACTGCAGAGTGCAATATCACAGCTTTGACAGCGAGACAATACAATTACCTCATTTCGTTTCAACCGCAACAGTGCAGCTGATCTGTTAGCAAGTGCAAGAGGATACATTGGGCCTGTTTGGTTGGCATATGTGACACTTTTCGAATAGTAACTGTAACTTGCTTCAATATTGTTAGATCGGAACTTGTCATTTCCTTTTTGTCTCCATAGTAATGCTATTTCATCACATTTTGTAGCTGTGTCAGATTCACTTCTTTTTTTTGCATATGTCGCTTTCATTTGGTTTAACCATTGAAGGAGAATTTGCCTGAAAATAAAACATTTGTATGCCATAAATCAGTAATAATAATAATAATAATAATAATAATATTTATTCATTCAAGCCTCTTAAAATACAAACACGTACAAAAATACTTAACACTAGTATAATAATATATATATATATATATATATATAGTAATACTTGCAACATAAGTAATTTAATTTTACTGAGGCTTCAAAATTTAATTTTACAGATTATGTCTAAGGCTCTCTGGTTAGTAACCAATTATGAAATACAATAAAACTGTTCATAGTAAACGAAGAAATTTGAGCTACTTCTAAATTCTCAACATAGTAGTGGCTCATTTTTATTAGTGTTATATTTTCATTGTGGAAGTGATTTATGAGTATATGTTAAGTAGGTATTTCATTAAAATAATATTTTACAAGTACAGATGCATCTTTCGATATGAATGCACCAGGCATCTTATTCTTTAGCTAAAGACGTTGACTTATCAATAATGGGTACATCAAATCAAATATGATGAAGGTGGTAGATTTAAGCTGTTTGATGGTACTTCAAGACACCCCATTACATCTTCTATCAGAAGAGACGATAAGCTTATTTAGTTATTATTCTATAATAATTTTTAACTTAATTGAACTTCAATTTGTGCGGTATTTGATTATTACCGATGTTAAACAAAAAATAAGCCAATTAAATGCTGTCAGAGGTTATCTATAAATTATCCACACGCATTCAATCCACAAACATAAGCTCACCTAATTCCCTCGTTTTTGTAAAAATAGTTCATTGTATCTATTTCCGAATCGCCAGTCCTGTCTATTTTTTTTTCCTCCGAAGAAATAAGTAAGAGCAGTATTTCCCATTGTTTCGAACAATTTTCGGGTAGACTAAGACTACTCATATTGCTATGTTTACTACTCAGGCACTCGTTTTTATACTATTTATTTTCTTACATACAAACAATTACTTGAAATTTTTATTTTTGAAATTAAAAAACAAACTTAATAAAATACATAAAAGAATGAAGAATGACAACATGAATGAATGATGAATTCAGATGAATGCAATGAATGAACAATTGCGATTATAGATAATACACATTACACTTAATATATTATTATTAGAATTGCGATGTAGGCCTGATAGATATAATTCTAAATGATTAAGAGAACATTAATTATTATAAAATTTTGGTCGGATTATATTAAATTGACATTTAATTTTTTATCAGCTGTAGAATTTTATTTGGATTCGTCTATTCAGGCAAAGAGGCAAAGTGTTTTTAGCCAAGGTCAAAGCTCTGCTGTTGTAAGAAAAGTAAATTGGAACATAGTTCAACGAAATAGAATATAGATTTATAAAAATAACCTCTTTTAAAATGGTGGGAATTTATTAAAATCTCACAGGGTTTTGCAGAAGAACCCTAGAAACCAAGTCCGCAATTTAGTTACATAGCTTAGCGTATATATTATATGTAGTTAATAAGTTTTCTTAATAACGCATTTAAACATTAAAAAGCCCTAAATTGACAATTAAGAAAAACTAACACTACTTGACACCTCGCAACCCCGCCAAAAAGCTTAAAATTGAATTAAATTTTATCAACGAGTTTTGTTCCATTCATTCATTATTATCTACATATTAATACGCGAAGCATAAACTTTGTACCCCTTTTTACGAAAATTGCGCTTACGGAGGAGCATGAAATTTCCCACACTTATAGAAAATATAGAGAAGGAGTGTAGAATGTTAATATTTTCTTGAATTATGCATAAAAACACATTAAATCAATTAAAAAAAACATTAAACACAATACCGTGTATTTGACACACACACGCATGGATAATATTTATTTATTGTCAAACTTTTCTTATTGTTTAAAGTTTGTGCTCAAATTGACAATAGATTAATATTGCTTGTCTTTATTAATATTTGTCTTTGACAATAGAATCATAATAGTGTACAAACTTATAATTTCAATTGACTATAGTCGAATTTCGACCACCGGGAGACCACTAGCTATTGCAAAAACACATTAAAGTAGATAGAAAACTAAGGCGATAATGCTGTTACAAAGTACAAACTCTTTTTTTTACTAATAGCCTGGTACCTAATATCCTATTATTATAATCACATAATCACATAAAACAGGCGTATAGGAGTGCTTGCGGAAATGACTATTCGTGTTTTGGAGCACAATTTACATAGGTGGGGTCATTTCAAGAATAGTTCGAAGCGATCTTGTCATCGTTTATCCGGTTACAGCACCAAACACTACCGTAGCCCATCTCTACTACTCGGGACGATTTCAATAACCCATAGTAGGTACGCTTTCAGTGAGTAGTATTTCCATAGAGTTACTATTCTAACTGGAGTGCTTACTTCGTTTGACATAAAAACTAAAAATATACTTTATCTCTATGGCTTAAAGTTTATTTTTAAATAGCAAAAGATGTAAGGAAAAACGGTCTGAAAAGAGAATGATTATTAAGTGGTGGTGTCCCTCTCGCACATTTTACAAACAAAAAGCAGTGTTGCTAGCTTAGAGGATTTTCCATAAAATCTCGGAATTTGGACCCCCGTCTTAGTTATCAAAAATGGCTTTTAGTGGTTAGTGGATTTTTTAGTAGCTTGGGCGTTGTTGAAAATTATCGAAAAGGTTAAAATCAATCCACTTTACAGGATTTTAAACATTTTATGACAATAATATATCTAAATACATATTATTTAAACGATGTGACTTAAACTTAACTAGAAAATGTTGCGAGAATTTAGAATTTCCATCAACGTCAAAAATTAAATTGGTTCAAAATAAACGTACAAAGTTATGGTGAAATTAGTTTCTGATGATGACAATTTATTAAAATAAATTATATGAGAAGTATTGATTATATGATATATATTGATTTTTAATAGAACATCATATATTAATAAAGCTTATTAACAAAAAAATTATTGTTCTATATTAATAAGAACTCTGTTTAATGGAAAATTTAATGGTAGGTACGTAGATTTCTGATGGTTTTCATGTTGAATTTGGTGGGAAGCCAGATTAATTGTTGGCATCACCGAAAAAGAGCTATGAATGGATTAAAAGAAAAATGGCGTCTATTTACGTTTGTAGTGCGAAGTTAAAATGGCACTGATACAGCTTGTGGCTTGTTTTTTTTCGAAAATCGTGAAAGTTTCCGTGTAATCATGGTGAACACTTTTAATGTAAGTGGTTTTAAGCGAGAATCCTCTCCAGTTTGTGGAATATCCTTCCATATGTCAGATTCATTGATAAATTTTTACTAGTGTGAGCATATATTTTTAAAATGTGAGATATTTTTTCTCATTATAATATTTAATACCATTTGTCTTGTAAATTGTACTTAATCTATGTCATATACTAAATTTGAAAAAACAATCGTGAAAACTATAATTTTGCAATGTATTTTTCATATTATAAGAGCCATCACGTGGTATTTTTTGAACTTTTTTTATTGTATTGAATAGCGTCGCACGCAAGCATGTATATCATTTGCCTGACGTTAAGCGAACGAGTAGGATCTTCTAGTAAATATGACGTTGGAATTTCTGGAAAATGTCCTATATAAAGGTCAAACAAGAAGAATCAAGTACTCAAACGCAAGAAATAAAAAATACCCCGAGAAAAGCAAAATTACGACAAGATGTTAAGGTATTGAAACAAAAACTTAAAAGTCGCGAAATAGTGATTGTAAATATAAAGTCGATTTTAGATTTATTAAAGAAAAATGGCGATTTTTAATTGAATTGAAATTTAAATTGCGAAATTTTAATGATACTCATGGTCCACTTAGATATTGATTAAAATAAATTATGTATTTCGTTGAAAAAAAAGAATTTACTTAAAATAGAGGAAAAGTTATATTATAAGACTACAGAAAATTAACTGAACTTAATAATAATAATATGTATAACCAATATTTTGTAAATAGAGATCAAGTACTATGTGTATCGTGTTATGTGTATTGACTTGTCATTTAAGAGTTATTTAATTGTCTACATATAACAAATAAATGAATTTCATTTCATTTCATTTTATTACCCATTGTGTTTTATCTCCTAAAATGTAACTAGTAGACTTAATATACACGTGTCATGAAAATAGCACAGAAGTAAAAATACAAGCAATTTTAAATCAATTGAAGATGTGAATGTAGGAAAAGAGCACCCGATACGCGCAGACCATGTGTGTTGCAGTGTCTCACTCAGTGTGTCAAATATTAATTTGCACGGCCCACTTAGCCAGTACATTAAAGTAGGAATTGCGTAATTAAGTTCAACATAATATATTATTTAAGTCGCGGTTGAGTATTCGGACGTTAAACATGAGTTTGAGGAAGTTTAAGTAATAGAACTGAGGTAATGATGTTTGTAATAAAACTCAGTGCTAGATTTTCGACAACGCAGCAATTTCCAAAAAAAACCGTCGAAAAAAAGTCACCATGACGACGAAGCAATGTTTAGAATTGAATTTACATAAATAAAACGTTGCAAGCACGTGTTTTGTATTTACATAGGGTTACACAGAATTACTTAAGGTAAATTCAAAACTGATGCATGTGTATAATTTTGTCCTATAAATAAATTTTATATGGTCACCACATTAGACAAGGACACCGCGACCAAAAAGTATTCTCTTTCGAGACCGATTTCTCGGCATCAGACAGCACTCCAGTTGTAGGTACTTATTAACTCCATGAGTATTTCCTATTACGAACAATCCAGTTCTGGAAATACTCGTCTCCGCTCCACTCAAAAAATCAAAGAAATCTCAGTAAATACTTTCCAAATAACTTTTTTTGTTCATTTGTTCCTTTGGAGTTCTCAGCACTCCTATTTGTCTACTACGGTTTTCTTCTATCAAGAATGACAATTTTGTATAATGTAATCACTGAAGTATGAAGTACTTTTTAAGTCTATGAATGTAATAAATTAATTAAATACCATTAATAATCATAAATTTCATTACTCACATACAGTACACAATAAAGTAAGCTATGTTGTAGATATTGCTTAAATTGAAAAACTCTATAACGGATACTCTTATGTAACGTTAGTGTTTAGGTATTAAGTCCCAATAAATACCCATTGGTTCACATTTCAACACGTAAGTACCTACCTACTTGTAATGTTTAAAAGGGTCGAAAATTATTTCGATATCTACAACCATTTCGGGATGTTAAGTGAAAATAATTTGGTTTCCTTTTAGCCGTATCTAATCGTTTTACGTGTTTGGCGTGTTAATGGGAATGCATTTGTTTTTAGAGTGATGTCCCATCAACGTTAAAGGATAATGGAAAACTGTTTCCTGCATTTCTTGTTTTGCGTCAACTGCGTGTGGCAGTGAAAGTTATGATATAGGTACCCATACATTGTAGTAATATGAAATCTGTTATTGGCTATTTTGGACAGGTCAGAATTCGTGACATTCAGTATAATACAAAAGCTGCAAATCATCGATTAAGAATGTTCAAAAAATTTTTTTTTGTCATAGCCGTAGATATTTACCAAGTGTAGGAATCACTATCTTGCCCATGACACCGTGGACAATTAGTGCGTTTTAAAATATAGAATTATATGAACGCCAAATTTTAATTTCGGCATAGCGTGTCAGTGTACGGTAGATTAGATCATTTAGGTTGATCTCCCTAAAAATGGGGAGGCCTATGACCATTAGTCAGTATCATAGAACTGAAGATAAGGTTGATTGCCATATTGCCTATTAATTTTTGTGTGTGGCAGTGTTCCTTCCTAATTGCTGGTAGCTTCGGGAGGCTATTCCAGCTTTACTGTTTTAATAGGCAAGCTCACGGGTCTCGGTCTCAGATAATTTGCTAATATCTGCCCTAGGAAGAGCAGTGCTTCGCAGAATCTACCACTGGATCACGATCCACTAAGAATATTCGGCGATAAACTCAGCGGGCTGTATCTATAGATTAGGTTGCGCGTCAACTCTTTGATATATTTAAAACAAGCACCTTAATTTGTCGTTGTAAAATATATTGTATGTCTTGAAAGGTTTAGAAACGTTGGTCGGAATCCAAAGTATGTAAACGCACTGACAACATGTAAATTTACTAAATTGCTAAGTGCCTGGTGGTATACCAACGGGCACTTAGTAATTTAAGTGTAATAGCTGTGAGATAAAATTTTTGATAACGGGATTTTGGCCATTTGCGTTCGATGGTTTGTGTACTGTGTGCTTAGTGCGAGTTTTTTAACGTTCCCGATAGCGTAAAAGTTAACCCAATTTCGTATGCAGTTGGAACAGCGCCCCTAACAGCAAATGTAGGCAAACGATCCCATTCCATACAAATATGAGCTAACTTTTACGCTATCGAGAACGTTAAAAAGCTCGCACTAAGCACACTGAGGTGTGCGCATGAGGTTCTGTTTTCACAGAAGTAGATCACTAACATACCTTGTATATCTTTCATGTCTTGCATATTTAGATTCGTTCTAATATGTTAAAACCATCCCCATAAATATGTTGAGGTTCAGAAGTCCGAAGCTCATTTGAATCTGAATTTTAGGATTTTGCAATGTGTTTCGCAGTCTAAAACTACATAATATACCTATCATCATTATCACTATTACAACTTTACTATGATTCTATTGGTTTCAATGTTACGAAATGCGGCAGTTTCCAATGCTTTCAACTCGTTACTAAGCAGCATTAGACGATCCGTTTGAAAGGGAAAAAAAGAGGGGAAAAAAACGGGGAAAACAATTTTTTTTATCATTTTAAATATTTCAATAAATACATTTAATTATTAGTTTGATAGTTGTTAGAATTTTTTAGTTTGATAGAAGCTATTTGTTTATAATCTATGTTTTTGTTCCGAGTTTTAATTAAATAACACCAAGTCCACTATAAAAATTGTTCTAACTAACCTAATCTATTACCTGTTCATCTGACTTATAAATCAATAGTGTGATAATAAATACTCGTATTGTATGCTCAGTCTTGGAAACCGAATTTAAATTTATGAAGTATTATGGTAATGTAAAAATTTGCGTAAACATGGCTTTCATCTCTCATTATGTTACGCAACAGCACAATCGAGACAAATCGATTCCGATTAGAAAGTTAAAGAATTAATACCGATTCTTTCTCCGAAAACGGTTTCTTTTTTAATAACTGGAATAATTCACGACGCCTCAACGGTTGTGATAACAATTCCGTTTATTTCTATTATTATTTGAAAATATTGTAACATTGTTTGGATTTTTGGTAAAAAAATGTAACATGACCTATGTTAAATGAAAAATAGAGTTGATCTAATACTATAATTGAGAGGTGTGATGGTGAAACTTATATGTATGAATATGTACTTAGAATATTTCGTCTGAAGAGTTCTTAGATTTAGACTTTTTAGAAATCGATGGGAAATTACTAGGTGGGGAACTTTTAAATGGTGGTGATAATAAAAAAGGACGGGCATAGAGCATAGCGATTGAAGATGTTACGGCGGCTTAGGTGGGTGTGTGAGAGAGACAGAGATTTTCCCAACTCTTTCTACTAAATAACAATTAGTCCATAAAATAATCCTCCCCTCCTGGCTGGGCCTTGGCTCGCCCACGTGTCCTGGTGAAACTGGAAATGCCTTCAGGCCACCAGTAAAATTCCAATCATAAAAAAAAAAAAAACGTAAAAGGATTATTTTTAAACATTAGTTGCGTTTAAATACCATGACAAAAGACAACTTCCATATTTTTCATTCATTTCATCTTAGCTGTGGTCGTACCTATCTATATATATAAAGGAAATTTTATTAAGTTGGCGAGTGTCACAAAACTTATTGACGTACGGCTTAATCTCGTGTTTGTAATTTTCATTTTACTGTTTTATCCCAACCCACTGAGTTTCTCGCTAGATCTTTACAGTGGGTTGCGAATCCGATCAAGTGGTAGATTCTGCGAAGCACTGCTCTTGCTAGAGCTAGTGTTGGCAAAATAATCTCAGGTTGAGCCCGTGAGCTCACCTACTCGTCTGCGCGTACCTAGAATAACCCCCTTAGGTTACTAGAGTATAGGTAGAGAAAAATTAATTTTTTCAATATTTCGGTTACTTTAAAGTTTATGAAAATTAAAAATAAACTCGAAATTAAGCCGAATTAAGTCGAAATAGTTTAAATCAAATATTAAACAAAAAAAGTTACCGCCTAATGATTTATTCTAATGACAAAATAATAAGTAAATATTTTTTTGATTTGATGAAATGCCATGAACATTAATTTAAAATTGGAAAACAGTTAGTACTACTTAGAAGTGCACAGGCATTACGAAGTTCATTGTGCGATTCAGGTGTTTGAACTCAATCAATTAACACTAAGCTGTGAATACTATTACAAGCCCAGTTTATTTGCAAAAAAAACAATACTTCGTTAAATGAACCAATATATTTTTACCATTTTAAGCTATTGTCTCAAAGCGATCGACTGCGTACACGCAGCGAAGTCTATGGGCTCGGTAACTGTTTTAAAAACACAAGTACGGCTATGGAGATCTTATTCTCATTTCTATAATGCATGAAAACTCCACAATATCAATTTAATTTAAGGTTAATCATAACTTTCTAACGTAAGACAACTGTCAACGAACATATATGCACAATTCACCTAGTGACCCAATAACCCGGGCTAGCATTCAAAGCACGTATACTCCCTGGAGCCCGAGAAATTGGCTATTCAGCACGCGAAAGCTCCGCGCGGGGCCTAGAAGAAAGGGGGCCGGCGGCGTACCTGTCGTCTATAGTCGTATTTTTAATTAGACGAAGCCAACTGATAGTAGCTGATGTCGCTTTGTAAAATAATGTTGCCATATTTAAAGTAATAGTGATGCGTTCAGTTCTCGTTTAATCAGATGAATGAACAATGAGTGTGAATAGTTAAACACTTCAAACTATAAAAGAATATTATTTCTATTTTACAATAAAATTGTATTAAAGTGCTCTAATGTATGTTACTCGCAGTATGTAACTACAATAAGTTTTTTTTTTTCATTACCTACCTATAATTGTTTTATCTTATACATCTATAGTTTCAACTATATGATGTATTGAAAATAGGACAGTCTTACAAGTTTCCTCGCAATATTTTCCTTAATATGTAAAACACTCGGTATTCAGTATAGGTAGATACTATAGGAACATAATCGTCGAAAACTCGTTGGTATGTACACGACTAAAATTTGAACCCCGTACCCGATATCGGCAGTTCGGTACACTAACTATTCACTAGACAATCGAGGCAATTTCATTAATTTCACTTTGTCACAACACTATTTTTATTTCATCAAAAACTGACAACACAGTAAACGTCAGTTGACTTCGTCTAATAAAAAATACATAGCGTCTGTTCTTGCGCACCTGTGCCGAAGTAAGCTCAGTCGAATCACGACAGCCGCGCCGTCGCACGCGCCATGCAACCTGACGCGTCCCCGCGAGTGTTATAACGGTACCAAGTTAGTGTGAATTACGATGGATGTGCTGTACTTGATTGTCATCTTGCTGCAAGGTGGGTCGCACGTTGCTCTGATTGTGTGCCGTTGCACTCGAGAAGACGCTGCACATTTAGCTAGTCCAGAGACTTCGTTTCGATGTCTCTATTTTGATTGGATTATGATATATTTTCGTATGTTCATGCGATTGAATTTATTTATTATTTATTTAATTTAAAACTTTCTCTGGATGCCATTTGAATAATTAAAGATAAAATGTAATGCATGCAATTTTTACGTTCACCCGCGAAACCAGATAGTTTTTTGGAATTTTTTGGGAGTCTGCTAACAGGGGTTCGGTAAAGACAAAAGTACAATGTGGTAGGTGAGCTCACAGGGCTTAGTTTGAGAGAACTTACTAACACTAGCTCTTGCAAGAGCAGTGATTCGCTGAATCTAAGACCGGATCGGAACCGCGACCCACTGAGAAGATCCGGCGAGAAACTTAGTAGGCTGTGTTAGGGTTGGTTAGTTAGTTAGTAGTAGTTGGGTTAGATCGCTAGTTGTATAAAAAACTTTGATTTATTGAAACTACTCACGTATCACCTATCTTAAATAGTATTAAGGCAGAAGTCTTCCCTGGGGTGTCAACAGCAACTTTACCAAGTTTCAACACAATCGAGTGGATACATTTATGACAACACTGTTTCTTTATATGAGGTAGACACCACCCTGCCTATTTCTGCCGTGAAGCAGTAATACGTTTCGGTTTGAAGGGTGTGGCAGCCGTTGTAACTATACTGAGACCTTAGAACTGATATCTCAAGGTGGGTGGCGCATTTACGTCGTAGATGTCTATGGGCTTCAGTAACCACGTAACACTAGGTGGGCTGTAAGCTCGTCCACACAACTAAACAATAAAAAAATAAAAATAGAGGTTGCTGTAAGTAAATTAATTTCTACTCATCGTACCTGGCATGTACATCGTACGGAGGACCGCATTATGTGGAAGGCATTGGGGAAGGCCTATGTCCAGCAGTGGGCAGATAAAGGCTGATGATGATGATGATGATGATGTACCTGGCGAGATAAAATATAAATATGTGTAACCTTTGTAATGATGTTGATGTTGACGTTGACAGAAACATTAACATTTGGGTATGTCATGTATTAGTTTAGCATTCAACGTCTCTAATATATTAAGTGTATAATCTATGATTCAACGATAACAGGGAGGCACAACTGGGACAAAGAAAGAACATTTAATTTTAACATTTAAAGCATGAACATTTAATTGTCGATTCTCTATTTTAGGTTAGTAGTTATTGCATTAGTTGATATTTGTTAAGTAAAATATATCTGTATTTAATAAATAAAACTCTGTTTTAGATGAATCACATAGTGTTTTGCTTTAAGAAGAAATATAATAAATAATCTTATATATGTATGTTTAAAAGAGAAATTTTAAAGGCATAATAAAACTTGTATAAATCAGGCGGCCATTATGTCGTAATCGAATCCTCCCGATCCACTAACGGTGCTTTTAGGTACCCCAAACACCGGTCATCGTTCTCGTCGAACCCGTCGCTAGCGACGAAGGGCTCGACGAGCAAATCAACCCACAGACACAGCCCACTGAGTTTCTCGCCAGATCTTCTCAGTGGGTCCCGTTTCCGATCAGGTGGTTGATTCCGCGAGGCACGGCTCTTGCTATGGTTCGTGTTACCAACATCGTCAGGCTTGAGCCCCGTGAGCTCACCTACTAGTTAAGGTTACGCTGAAATGGTCTCTTAAGACCATCATATAAGGTAGGGAAAAAAATCGTGATTCTCGATCGAACAAATAAAATTATAGTTAAATTTATATAATGTCTTAAATCGATACACTTCTAGTATTGGTGGCGATGTCCACGTATGCCAAGAAGGGCACAACTTCGTGTTAGTATTTTTCAATTCAACAAAATAAAATAATGAAATACGTAGAGAAACACGCTTAGACGTACAGGTTATTGTTTGAGAAGAGTTGGTAGATTCATTGGAAAACGCTCTCTAAATCATAATACATTTAAAATCGCAATTTAAAATTTGGGGCTGGTGTACTGGTGATAGGGTGTCTTGCGAACGCGCATGGGTAGGTACGAACACACTGTCTAATTCATCCGCGAAGTTGTCATTCTATTTGGTTTGAAGAGCACAACAACCAATAATCTGTACAATTGGACATTATACGTGTTCCAAAGCGTATAGCGGCAATCAAGTGGTGATGTCTGTAGGCCCACTTAACAGCAGATGAGCCGTGAGATAGTTTAATGGTATGCGCAAAACAAAAAAAAACGTGTGGCACTCGGGAACCGCCGCGGTAAAGCTATTGCATAGCATTTTTTATCAACTTATGCAATTATAATTAGACAATGATAATTTAATATTAAAACAATAATAAAACAAGACCACGCTATATTAAACATTAATGAAAGCAAAACCTTAACTGTCCCCTTCACACTCATAAGCTAGACCGCGCGAGAGAGAGATGGACAGACTTTTCATGATGCGCATGCAGTGTGACGTCACGCCACGCGCTTATTCACAAACACTACACAAGCGCAACGTGTGAATGTGTTGAACGTGAGCTACATGGTAGGCGGAGTGAGGGGTGTAAGGTTTTTTTCGTTACGGAATTTCATGATTCCGCTCTCAAGCCGCGCTCAAAGCCCGCGATAAAATCTATGCAATAGCTTAAAAAAATAGAGAGAGAGAAGTCATACTTTTAAAGTAGCTAATAATTACTGTGAAAGAAAAAAAAAACGTAAAATACAAAACAAGATTTCGTACAATTTTCCAAGTGGTTTGTCTCGAAAAGAGGGTAATTTGCTTGGAGACAACGAGCATTGAGGGCGCTCATTTGGACGTTTCTATCTGTAGTATTTTGTCACACTCAAATTTTCACTCTCACTTTTCACTGCATAAATATTACTTGCGTCTTCAATTTGTACCGTTACCGTATTGTAGTTAATTGCCTCGGCTTGATGCCTATTATATCGCAAGAACATTTCTTGGCCTTTATTATTAAAATCGTTATCTTTCTTGTTCATTTACGTGAATATCAAATAACAATTAAATATTTGAAACCACAAAAACCAAATTTTAAAAATGTATGTTTTATCATAGAATTTTCTAGTCTTTATTGTTTCCGTTAATTCGGGATGTTAATCTAATTAATACAATAGCAACATAAATTTTCATACACATATCTGTCGAAATAGAAGAAAAACAATGATCTATTTCTTAATGTAACAGGCGGGAAAATACGAAATTTTAAAAATGAATATCACATTTTTACTTAATAATATTTATTGTAAATGTAATATTCAAGGAGATTGTACAGAAAGAACCAGCCCTAAAATATATTTTTCGGTTTTCATGACTCTCAGACATAATCAAAAGTATTTTTACGGTTTAATCTAGTGTTTTTATTATCATTACATACGTATTATATCCGTCACGTCCGTCATAGTCACCGGACGACGAGATAAAACGTGATACTACGAGTAAACCGTAAAATAACTTTAAATTAAAACCACCAGTAACATATTCTAAGGGTCACAATAACCGGCATTCATTCTAAGGACGCTTATTCAAAATGTGTTCAAATATTAGAGACAAATTTACGAAATTATTCAGCGCTTATTCTTAAAGCGTTAATCGTACGAGTAATATCAATAATTCTTGGGAATAATTACACTGAAGAAAGACACGAAGTACTGCGCAATGACATGTCATGCACCACAGTCTACAAACGTCTCTGATTACTGACGTATCATGCGCAACGGTCTACGAACGATTTTGTAGTCAACTGAACTAGACTGTAACGTTAGTTTTCAAGGATCACGACTCCGCGACGGCACAAAAGTGCGGTTTCAAAAGTTTACTTGTTGATCACGGAGGATGTCATTTTTGATCCGCATATCGTTCAAAACCGCGAATATGATAAGTTAATAAAATTGATTTTATCGTACTATTAGTTGAAATGTTTTAGAGCACTATTGTGCTTTGAACAAAATAAGATTTGTTTGTAGTGCGTAGTGTGGGTATTACGGTGTGCTTTTTTTTCTTCATTTCTTTTGTGAGCAGACGAGTATACGATCCACCTGATGATGAGTCAGGATCGTTGCTCATGCACGTCGGTAATGTCAGAGTACAGTCGAGAGTCCTGCATACAAAATGTTCCTAGCTTTCTATACTATTTATCAGATTTAGGTTTTAGATGAGCTATCCTAAAAATGTTATGATCTAGAAGGATGACATAAATTAGAACTTTTATCCAGGTCGTCAATCTCTTCTAATCTGTTTCATTTCGGCGTTTTTTTTTTCTACCTAAGCTGATAGCCTTGAGATGCTATTACAGCGTAACCTTAATTAGTAAGTGAGCTCGCGGGGCTCAAGCCGGAGTGATGCTAACACTAGCCCTAGTAAGAGCAGTGCTTCGCAGAATCTACCACCGGATCGGAAACGCGACCTAAAAAGCGTGTGTGGTACCTAAAAGCACTATTAATTCGGCGTAATATCGAAAACTTCTATCTGAAATGCGATTAAAATTTATAATATGAAATTAAATGATGCAAACAAATTTTTCTTCACTACCCGCCTTGAGGCAAGAAATCAAATTCTCAATTCTATCGTACAACATCCCAACATGACATTATAAAAGATAAAAGTCCATTGAACACAGAATCTAAATTCAACTACCGTGTAATGTGATAATTTTCTAAAGTATTATAGACTGTCGTTCGCTGTGAAGCGAATTCCAGTTCCAAAATTGAAAAAAAGGTACTAAGCACTAATAATCGTACAATGAACGTAAAATGGTTTAGCAATTTAAATGAAGCTTACAAATAAACTATATCGCGATTCAGAGAAAATGTTCAGCGACATCTATTGACAACGGCATTAATGAATTTCCGCAATAAGGGTCGCGAAAACGTCGTAGTATTCATAATATATGTACACAGCCGAGAGCTTATGAAACGTTCGCGTAATTTTAGGGGATGGAACAGGAAAGGGGTCTTTTGAGTGGCCGCGGA